TGGATGATCCAAAATCAATGAATGTTAGCTCATTGGATCCGTCAAGTCGCAAGGAATCTAATGGTAGTTGTTTCATACGAAACGGTGCGATATTGACCGAGATCGTACATTTTTTGTTTATTGTTTTTTCTCAATATGAAAAATCATGTAATATGACATCATTTCGACTATTTCGCGATTTTAGCCTTCAATGATCGAAATGATTTCGACCATTTCGACCATTTTGGATATCCAAAATGATACATTTCGACTTCATGTATAATGAGAATTACTTTAAATAATTACTTATTACCTTATCAAACAAATTCGATTGCTGCGAAAGTATATCACCATCTGGCATGGGTTGCTGTTGCCAGAATTTTATATACTAAAATGCGTGAATATCCTGATAGCCACTATTGCCTTGCATCGATAAAATATGCAAAGCAATTCGCTAGCACTTTTGCTGACGTTTCAGTTGTCATCTCTCAAGATGATAAGGCGAAAATTAGTCTTAGGATGCCTGCAATAGGTTGCACATTCCATAAATTGCAATTCATTAATGAACCTACAATCATAGTAGATCACAATTTTCCTGTAGGATCCAGACAGAAATTAATTCCGTTAGTATATTTGATAATAAACCCAAATGAATCTAATGATGAATTGCAAACAGGCCAGTTAGTAATTTTTATTCATTCTCATTGGTCTCTTGAAATATCCTCACTTACACATATGTAAGATTTGGAAAGCCTTACCTTGAATCCTTAATATGAAGGTACATTAAGAACAGATGGAAAAATTCGACTGATATGAATCTTATTGGTAGCTAAAGGGTCAGATGAGAATCCTAGACACTTAAAAAATATAAAGGCCTATTGCCAACTTTTCAAAAAGTTTGATTTAGATTTTTTAAGTATACAAACATATGCTTCAGAACAATCAAATATAATCCAATTGAAAGAGGAATAGCAACATTGTTTAGTAAACTTGCCAGTATCACTTTACCAATTGACCATTATGGTACACATTTAAATACGCAAGGGAAAGTTATAGATCTAGAATTGGCTACTCAAAATTTTCGCTATGCAGGAGAAGCTTTATGTGAAATCTGGTATTGTGATTTAATTTTTAGTAAGAAAGTTGATGCTCATTATGTTGATGTACTCATGAATCCATTTGAGTATACAGTCAAACCTTGATATAGCGAATCCTTGATATAGCGAATTTTTAAATCAAATATATTAAAATTACCTTTACTATAGTGAACTAACCAATTAAATTCTTTAAAAAATTCGTTATAAGCTTATAATGAAGTTGATATCCAGATCCTAGAATTCGTTATATCAAGAGTTTACTATATACAATTCGAAGGAACAGAAAAAGAAAAAGTTGAAGTATTAAAAAGGAGAAAAAAAGAGAACAAAAAAAATCAAAAAATACAGACAAAGAAACAATACATACCTTTTCTGAATCTTTTGTATCATGGTCTTGGATTGAAACCCAGTATAATTTGTGCACCTACTCTCTTGATATTAAACGATATACAAATACCAGTTGCTGTAAACCATCCAAAACTCAGGAAGTTATGGACTTTCTTCACCTATATAATGGCTTCTTACCACCTATTACCAAAGCTAGAGATGGTCAGTTTACAAATCCTATTCACCTTCTTCAATATGGCAATCTCTTGAAAATACCAGGATATGATACATATTATACATCGATTAAAAAAAATACATACTTATGACTTTGCTATTCTGTTTGCCAAAAACACTTTCCCACCCTTACATTTTTGACAAATCATAAGCGATTAATGCATTCTACTACCTGAGAATAACCTAAAAATTAACAAGCTTTGATGATATTATTACACGAAAATGACATGGATGACTCAGATGACGAATATGACTGCAATGATTAAAATGTCATATATGTCTTCTATGTCATATATTTTATATATTTCTTTTATTTACTATATTATATATATCTCTTTTATTACTTATATTTCTTATATCTCATATATTTATTATAGTTAATATATCTCTTATATTATTTATATTTCCTATATGTCTTCGAACACTTTATGTATTTATTTTTATATAAATATACCTTGAGTCTTAGAGTAGTTAACGGTAGAGAGGTTTGAAGTAAGTTTAGAATAGTCAGAGTACTTTCTTAGATAGTTTAATTTAATATAAAATATTTGCACAATACAGAGCGCCGACAAAAGCAGTACTCATTTGTTAAGACATATTGAATAAACGATTGATCCTTTTTGACTCAATCCATATTGACTTATAAACTTATACATTCTGCTTACCTTATCACGCTTTTAACCTTTAAGTGTCCCTAAAGAACTGCCTATAATAATATTTCTCTCTTTTCTCATCCCAACAAACAAGATCGTATGGCGAAATGAAATTTGACTTGAGGGTTTGTAATTCAGATGGAAAATAATATTTTATTGTAAAGTATATGTGTGTATGTGATCTGTATAAATGCTAAGCCACTATTATCCCTTAGATTGTTTAGCAGGCAAATTTGCCTGCGAAATTAAAAATAATAGTTAATTTCTTTATAAAATATTAAATATTAATTTTAGTAATATTATTACTATATAAAAAATATAATTTAATATATAT